AGGAGAAGACAATGAACGTCGTTATCCGAGTCTAAGAGGATTATCTGTCGTCGACAAGCGCATTAAGCGAAACGACGAACCAAGTGGCTCACGCACGTTAGTCAACATACGCACGCACGTCAATCAGCTCACGCGTGTCGGTTAACACGCGCGCGTCAATCAGTTCGCGCGCGTCAGTCAACGCACGTATGTCAATCAGCTCACACACGTCAATCAACACGCGCTCGTCGATCAGTTCCAAGTGCCGTAAAAAAGCTAACGAGTGCCTGAAGCAAGTTAGAAAATCGTATAAGTCAACGAGATGGTTAAATACGTAAAACGGTGGAAAATACAAGTCCCGAAAAAGTCAGAAAATATCAAACAGTTCAACGCAAAGGTCGAACTATCCGCACCCACGCAAATCGAACCGCGCCGACCCGTGGCCGCGCGGGTCGGCCGCACCCGCGCAGGTCGGACCGCGCCGACCCGCGCCCCCCACGGGTTAGATTTCACTCGCGCGCTGTTTTGATCCCATGTTCAGTTTTTGACGGGTTTTCTCGGGATTTGTTGGTTCCTGAGCATCCCAACTGATCTGATATCATCCCCAAACGGTGTTAATCAATTATTAACTAAATATAAGGAGGGATCATTCATTCTTATCTCAAAACCCATATTCGGAGCCCTATAAATACAAGTCTAGGGCCTCATTTCTCGGGGGGCGGTTTATTATCAAGACGTGGAGGTGCTGCTGGATTGAGGAGTCAGGAAGCACGAATTTCAGCGAAAGCAAATCAGATCCCGGCGAACTCCAGCATAAAGAAGGAGCTATTCGAAGGATCTAAACCCCGTCCGTCCGTTCCTTGAGATTAGGCTTGGTCTTGATCTCAAGAAGAGCCCTGATTTTTATTGGTCGATTTTAGCGCTTTAAATCAAACACTCCCTCGGTGAAGGTGAAGCTCTGCCCAATTTTCTATTAACCGGATCCAAATCTAAGGTGGTCCACGGATAAACCCCGGCACAGGCAAAGATCCCACGCAAACAGAAGACCGATAAACGATCTCTGTGTTTGTTTGACGAGAATTGTAATCTTTGTTTTCATTGTGTAAGAGTCTTATAAAAAGACTATCTTTTCGTTTTTATTGTAACGACCGAAGTTGTAATGAATACAGCAATGAATACAATAATTTTCGACGCAAACAAGGTGTCTGCTTCAAACCATAGAGGATCTTCTTCAACTTGCAAACCATGTGTTCTTTTCCCTTCACTTTAGAACCCTCCGGCGGGGCAAATGGATAGCCCTAGTTGTACCTCTTTGTAACTCCATTATGATGCGGTGTGTTGGGCTCTGTCCTCTGATGCCGAATACCATGCTTAGAACAATAATCTCTAAACTCAATGGAAGTGTACTCTCCTCTATTATCGGTACACAAACACTTCAACTTCTTTTCTGTCTTTCTCTCCTCTATTATCGATGCGCAAACACTTCAACTTCTTTCCTATCTGCCTCTCCACCATGGCATGAAACTGCTAGAAGACTGAAAATACATGATCCTTTATCCTCAACAAGAAGACCCACATCTTCCACGATGCATCATCAATAAATGTGAGAAAATACTTATTGTCGTCCATGGACTCCATTTGTGTCGGGAACAATTTTATTATAGCTTCCATTAAATTGTTTAGCAGAAACAAAAGAATGAGCCTTACACGTGTAAATCTTTTCTTTACAATATAAACAAAATCGTTGGGTTCCCTAGAAACACACACAGAAACTCCTACGTAGTAGCTTCTACTTGCGTGGGATCTTTGTCTGTGCTGGGATGCGTAATTCGTGAACCATCGAATCAACATTCCAAGCCAGAAACGAAGAAAGTTGAAAGTTAATGTTTCAACATGAAAATAAGAACTGAAGTAAATATCTTAGCGAGGTAAGATAGATGCTCTTCTCAAGATCAAATCTATGTTTGAACTCGAGGAAACACCGAAGAACTCTTGAAGATGCTTGAAAGCGGATGAGGGACTCTCTCTTACTCTTAAAGTTCACCAAATACCAAGTTCTTTCTGCTATCCGCTCTCCAAAAGCCTCTTCCTTCTGCAGTAACCCAGTACCTCGTGCATAAATGTGCCAAGGGGTATTTATAGCCATTGAAAGGCATAATCATCAAAAATAAGCTGAAACAACTGACCATCACTATCTACTTTGGGCGAGATAGTGTTTACTGTCTCGGCTGAAGGAGGCAGTTCCAGCCAGTTTGTAACTGTCGTCCCACTACTTTAAGCACATTAAATTTCATGTTTCTCGAGGGTAGTGGACGTATTTCACGACTATAACCGTCCATTAACGTTAATGAATGTTTCCCAAAAGTTATGGAATCAAGTGGGGCCCGTAAAAAGTAACAAAACCGTCAAAAATACGAGAGGTTGTCTCGCAGTTGGCGAGACAACTCTCACTGTCTCGCGTATCCGAGACAGCCTACATTGTCTCGGAAATGCGAGACGGTGGAGACTGTTTCACCAATTGTGAGACAGCTTTGTGTCCCTTTGAGTTATCATTTTGCGTTCTTCTTTGCTTCCTTTTGCTTTAGCTACTCTTCTTTGACGTAGATGATAACGTTCCTTATCTTCTCTCAGTCTTGAGCTGTGTTTAGGACCTATAGGAACTTTTTAACGCCTACAACCTCCACCTCAATAGGACCACAAACATTAGAATAAATCAAATCCAGGATATTATCTTTTCTTTTAGAAGGCTTGCTAAAAGAAGCTCTATGTTGTTTGCCAAATAAATAATAATCACAAGTGGTGAGTGACGAACCTTTGACAAATGGAATGAGAGACTTCTTTGCCAATATCTGTAACCCCTTCTCGCTCATGTGCCCTAGCCTCCTATACCACAAACCGAGAGTGTCACCATTTTGAGCCACACTCAAAGAATCATATGAAGCCTTTGCTTGAATCTTATATAAATTGCAACATATACTTCCTCTAGCCACCACAAGAAAGCCTTTGGTGATTTTACATTTTCCTCCACCAAATTGAATTTCATATCCTCTTCGGTCCAAAGTAAGACCCGAAATCAAGTTGAGCCATAAATTGAGAACATACCGCACATTCTTTAAAATCAATGTGCATTCAGTATCTGTCTGCAAGTGTATATCACCAAGTCCCACAATCTTCGAGTAACTGGTATTTCTCATCTTCACATTGCTAAAGTCACATGCTTTATACGACATGAAAAGGTCTCCATTAGAGGTAGCATGACATGTAGCTCCTGTATCCACTATCCACTCGAAATTTTGACTTGTAACATACATACAGTCTTCTTCCCTACAAATGAGAATAACATCGGTCTCAGACAAAGTAGATGTAGTGTCACTGTCGGCTTTTTTTCTTCTAATCTTTCATTTCATCTTTGTTCCCAGCTTGCTCTTTCTTCAATGCCCAACAATTCTTCTTGATATGACCTGACTTCCCACAATAAAAACAACCTCTCCCTTTAGACTTTGATATGCCCTTGGATGTGTTACGAGCTCTGGGTTGGTCCTTGTATCTTCTCCTGCCCATGTTCTCTGTAACAAGTGGCTGTGAGTTATCTGTGCTCGTAGGCTTCCTCCGAGTCTCCTCATTAAATAAACTACTAATAATCATACTCATCGATAACACACCATCTGGAGCTACGTTGCTGACTGTCACAACTAGTGTCTCTCAACTGTCTGGCAAAAAATCCAATAGCAATAAAACATGTAGCTCATCATCGATAGTCATCTTCATGGTAGCTAACTGATTAATCAAACTCTTGAACTCATTCAAGCTCATCATCGATAGTCATCTTCATGGTAGCTAACTGATTAATCAAACTCTTGAACTCATTCAAGTACCCTGCTATGTTGCTTCCTCATGGTAGCTAACTGATTAATCAAACTCTTGAACTCATTCAAGTACCCTGCTATGTTGCTTCCTTCTTGGAATTTTAAGTTCACCAACCATCTCATAATAAACGCCTTATTTCTCGCGGTCTTCTGCTTGTATAGATCCTCAAGATTTTTCCAAAGAGGCTTCGCATTAGTCACACCCCAATACATGATAAAGCACACTAACGTCGATCCACATCCGAATATAATCGATCGCCTTCTTGTGTTGTTTCTACCATTCTTTATCAGTCATTATTTCTGGCTTGGCTTCATTTCCCTCAATAGGGTCATGTAAATCTTTACAATACATAATATCTTCTATCTTGGACTTTCACACTTGCCAATTGGAACCATCCAATTTCATCATCATGTCAAAACTCTCCATCTTTTTCATCCCAAAGTACGCCTTGAATCAGGGCTCTGATACCACTTGTTAGGGATTTTATGGAGATTAGTCTGCGGAATTAAACACTAAACGAATAACGACACCAATAAAAAATACCACAAGCAAGCAAGCACTAAGATTTAACGTGGTTCGGCAAATCGTGTCTATGTCCACGGGTGAACCCAGAGATAAATATTGAGTACAACCCCTCCAAGTTACACCTGAACTTGAGGATTAAATCACAAGAGAAAGATATAGTATTACCTCTAGGGTATCAAAACCCTAAAACTCGTCTCACAAAAAATCTCTAACACCCGCGGAGAAACCAGCACCGTATCCTCGATAGTGTCGTCGTTCTGAAGACAACGTCGTCATTTTGAAGACAACGGTTTTTGAATCACTACAATCGGACAACCGAACTATCCAGAATCTCACTTTTCTATCTTTTCTCGGGTTACTGTAGCGACAATTAATTTCAGGGTTCTCATAAATAAAATTCTCCAAACCTGTTCCTATTATAAATAGATCATCTAAATTCTTTTCTAGATAGAATTTTTTTCTAGATAAAATTTTAATTCATGTGAACCTCATGTGAGCTTTATCTTAGGCTGGACCCACAACAACTAAGCTAAGTAGTCAAGAAGAATAGATTCCGATTAGAATAAAAATTGCATCACTCTAAAAGCCAGCTAAGTTGACACAACCTGGTTGTAGCACAAACAACTAAATTCAACACAAATCAGATTCAATACCGAATAGAAATTCATTGTTCACATGAGTTCAAAATATATACAGCACTATTACAGCGGAAATTAGCAGAAGTTTTTCATTGTACAAGAACTGAACAGGAATTGTGGCATACATTATCTCCTGGCATCAGGTACAGAATGACAAAAACAAATCCCTCCTCTGATCTTGCATTCCTCGATTAGGTTGAAGATTGTCTACAGAGTTAGTATCAACTAAACTCTACAATATAAACACGACATTCATGTACATGCTACTGGTTTTTTCTACCTCTCTTATGTTGATATCAGCAGTAGAACATCACCCTCTTCACTTTCTCTTTTAGTGCTGGTAGTGGCTTCACCGCAGAACTGTTTGCCATTCTTGTGCTTCGTGATTTCTGGTTCTCAGGCATCTCTGGTTCTGTGTAGAATCGTGCTCGGAATGCAGCAAGATGAGCATAATACGCAGGAGGCACTGCTCAAATTTTATTACAAAAATTATGATCAGAGAAATCATAAAAAAACATGGATGAAATATGATTAGTCAAGTTTGTATTTTGAGAAATGAACATACCAACAGAAACAGAACGGGTACAGCGAGCATACCTGCATTATTTTGATCAAATCAAATAAGATAACGAAAATACAGTCTAATCTATAGAGTAAGATAACAAAAAGACAGTCTAATCTATAGAGTAAAAACTTTCTAAGGAACTTACGTATAGCATAGGTTATTTGTCAGCGTTTGCATCTCATCTGCAGTGAAATTGTTCTCATCCCATAGAACATGGTAATGTGCTGGCCGACTAGTTCCCTAAAAAAACAATAATTTACAAATAAAAATCGAGTAACATGGATACCTTAGTTCAGATTCCTACCTAAAATACTCGTATTTATTTGGTTGTCAAGTGATTTAACCTATTTAAGGAAACATTTCAAAATGTGCCTACAATTAACTACTTGGTTCCTACAGAAGTCAATAACAATGTAGAGCATATTACTGCCAAATTATTTAGGAGGCCATTTACCTGAATTCCAGCATGACTGCATAAGTAGAAGTCAAACTCAGTAGGATGGCATATCTTGGAATCAACCACTGTCCCTGTAAATGTTTCATTGTCCCGTGTAAATTTCCATTATATGAACCAATTTTCTATCAGAAACTTAGAATATTTCAATATTGACTGTTAAGGAAGCAAGAAATGTTAGTAACAAGGTAGATACAGGAAAAAAACTCATCTGTAATCCTTGTTATCTGATATAGCAACCCTTAGTCATATATTCCACCAAGTAAAAGAACACAGATTACCTGGTAGGATGTTTCCACTCCTGTCAGTACTACTTCTATCTTTGTGGTTGTTTGCGTACAGCCTCGTGTGATGGCGCTTTTGGACTATGACAAAGGTAACTGGAGGCTGGTAGTTTGGCTCTAATGATGCACATGCCTGTAAAAATAAGACAATGAGAACCACACATAAAAAAATATATAAGAATACAAAGCTAACTACAAGCTTCTTAGGTGTGTACAACCTTACGAATGGCATCTAATTCATATAGCAGGACCTGATAGAATTGCCCTTCACTAACGCCGTCTCTACATGAAACATGGGAAAACACAGATAAATAAATGCTACAAATATATTTTATGAAGTACAATGAGATATCAAAGCCATTAAAACATGTGAAGTTATGTCATGATTTTAGCTTTGCCACCTGTAAAAGATAATCCTCATTGGCTTTTGTCCAGTAGCCTTCCTGAAGGAGATCAGAAGCTCCCTACAAAGATTTTAAAAAACAAAAAGAGAGCACATGAATTCAGGAAAGGAAACAGCTTTCCATAGAAAAATAAAATAAAGTGAAAATTAGATGTCATTTCAACAAAATAAATTACACAAGTAAAGGCTGATAAAGTATGCAAACCTGATCATGCCTCCTGTAACTGTCCCCCGTTCGGGATCCTGCCACGTCTTGTATAGATCCTGAATGAGTTCCTGTCGATGAGCCTGAGCACATACTAATCCAGCGTATTTTGTAACTTCAGGCCAATCTTGAGAGGCAACAACCTATGGACAACGGTAGTTGGCTGAATTATACCAAGGTTTTACTAGCAGAAAAAAAATATAGAGTAGAAGAGGCAATTCCACTACCGCAGCAATAGATGGACTAGAATCCTCCCCAGTCTCTGGATGAGTTACATCTGCTCCAAATATTATCGTCGGTATGTCACTGACCAAGGGAATTCTACAACTAATGGCGTCTAAGAGTACAGTATTTCTTCCTCCCATCTGATCAAACCAAATAAAGAACAAGGATGGCTGAACGTAAATACCCATAATTATGGAACATATTCATTCTCACTGACTAACAATGCTTACCTTGACATTAATTTTAAGCGATACATTTGCTAGGTACTGCTTGCTTATCTTAAATACATGTTTTGTCAGGCAGCACTGGGATATCAAACCCAAATCTGTTTCACATATTCTTTTGAGATCACCTGAATAAAATTACTCCTCATGGTCATTGACATGCATTTTATCATATACATACAGGCATGCAATAGAAATAAGCTTACCGTACAGAGAACCATTGTTATCAGGAAGGATTGCTATAAGAAGTTCTAGCTCCTTGCCCTTCGATTTGTTCACTGCAGCATTATAGACATGCTTAAGGGCCTTCTCTACTTGTTCAGGCCTTGAATTGTAGATTGGTATTATGGGATCTCTGTTAAATTCCTGCAGGATTAATGTCTTGTATTAGTGTTTAAAATAACAAAGGGCGGAAATCACAAATGTAATTGGGTTTTTAGAAGCTGAGTATATCACCAAAATAATACTAAAGGTCAATGAAGATGGAGGATTCTAATGTTAATGCTAAATCTGTGACTGACAAATACCTAACTTTTTTAAACTATATTACCACCAGGTGTGGCTATTAATTATGTTTTCTCATAAAACTGAGAAAACTGACTGAATAAAAAAAAATTCCTCGCATGGAAACTCCAGCAAAAACCAGTATTTGTATTCTTCTCAAAACATTTGAGAAATATAGAGGGCTGGATCAAACAACTGCAGTCTTTCAAGAACATCCCTAACTGTTGCCTCAGTAGTTTTCATCCTAGCAAATTTTACAAGCAAAACGAAAATATACTTAATGTAGAGATGATACAATAGCAAGACAGTACAAGGAAACTAAAACATGAGAAAGTCAAATTCTCCATTTGGGTAGAAAATTTTACCATGCCAGTTATTTGGCACATCTGAGCTAGCTCTTGACAGAATCCATGAGCAGTGCTTTCTTGAATGCTACGTGAAAAGTTGATGCAAGCCCAGTGGTTTACAGTGCAACCATTTATTACTTTCTGCAGTAAAAGAAACATGGGCTACTCCTTAGTCTACTGGAGTACAAAGATCTGCTTTAAATAGTATCTCTGGCATACATGTTGTACATACAAACAGTAACACTGTACCTTGTTCATCATATTCCATTGTCCAACCTGAGGCAAACACTCCTTTTCTTTTCCAGTTTCATGATATTTTAACTGCATGAACAAGTTTTTCCATTGACTACCATGCATCAGCAAAGTATAGGTGACTCATCCTTAATGAAAGAAAATGACGAAAGAGATTCTTTGTGACAAAGTAGATGATAAAAGATGCATATTACCCAAGGAGCTGGAAGAACTCGAGCTTCGACGGAGGCAAGTTTGTCGCTGATGCTGATTCCAAATTCCTTTGCATAAGGATCTTGGTCATAACTATTTTGATGAACTGTCTGATAACATTGTATACAGAGTTAATAAATTGATCGTAGAACTTCTAAATGGCAGATGAATGAAGAAAACATTGACTATGAAATGAGGGTTGTGGAGTTTAATAAAGAGTGCATGACCAGTTGTGTAATGGACCGGAAAATACCAAAAACCAAGCAGAGGCAGAACCAAAGTAATTATCAAGCTATAATCGTAGAAAAATGATAAGTGTACACAAGAGCAGTACTACTCTTGTACTACTAGACTACTAGACACAATGGATCCATAAGAACTCATAATTTTCATAATTTCTCTTTGCAATTTACAAGAAAAGTCTCCACTTTTTTTGTATGTAGGAGTAGAAGAGTAGAATTGCAGTTATCACTACTCATAATCTTATATGCATCACAGTTGGGGAATTCTGACTGGGAGAAACTCTCTATAAGTTATATAATCAGTCATCAGTACCAAAGGATGCGACAGAATAGTAACAGCCCATCTAGGAAAGCAAAGTAGTTTAGAGCGTAGTACTAGTATTTTGTTATACATTTACCACTTTACATACTTTGAAATATTCTGTTTTAGAAGCTCTTGAGATATAATCACCGTTCTACCTATAAATATGTGATATCATCTGCAGCTCAAGCATAACTAGAAAGTTAAAACAAAGTCGCGTTATATTGTGATATTTAGCTCAACTCTTTTGTTTGTATAAAGATAGAACAATAGTAGATCTAGTTATTGTAACATTGCATGTACACTAAAGACTCTTAAAGAGATGTAGATCTAGTTATTGTAACATTGCATGTACACTCAAGACTCTTAAAGAGATCAATTTGTACCCACAAATAAATTCATACCCTGCTGCATGTGCTATCTACTTGTTTCAACTCTAGAAATGGAACATCATGCATAGGAGAGGGGACCAAGTAGAAGCCAGCCAATCACTCTTAATGGGCACTAGTTGAGAGTTAGGCTTAAATCTAAGTGGCTGTGTGCTAGAACTGGATGATGCCCAACAGCCTAGATGGTGGCTAAACAAAATAGCAAGAATTTGGATAGTCCACAGCTCCTAAGATTTTTTTTTTTAATAAGAAACTTCACATAGAATTTAAAAGTGTAGAGACATGGATGGTAAGAAATACAAACCTGCAGTATATCCATCTCCTGTTCTCTGGGCCTCTGGCAGGTAACTTTTAGCAGGGAAGTAATTTGCTTTTCATTCAATCTCTTTGTATATCTCTGTCCTTCAACTATTTTACATGCCTGTAATTGATACTTAAAGAACTATAAAACCTCCGAAATTGTTATGTTAAATAAAGAATAATTTTATTAACCTCACCTCCATTGGCAGATAATTTGCCTTCTTTTGATTTCCTACTTGAAGGCAAGGCAGGTGAGAATATTGAATTGTAAAGCCATACATTTCTTTGAAGTATTCAACCACAGATTTCATGTTGTTTTGTTCGTCAACTGGGAAACTGTCCAGAGAAAAATTTAAGAACCATAAGCAATCAGGACATATACATATTCTTGAATATGCATTAACAAGATCAACGATTAAAGTTTCTTACATCAGCTCTCTAGTAGGAAGAGATGTCAATCCTGAAACTCGATATTTCCTTCGTACGCTTCCTCTATGAGTGACTTCAACTTTTACACCTCTAAGAGCCTTCTTGATCTGCTCATTGCAATGCACAAGCATTAGTAAACCTTTCAATATACAGAACAAAAATTAAAAATGTCAAAAACTTTAGTAATCTAATCTAAGTAGAGCATTGAATTTCTCATTCGATAGATTGAACTGTATTTTCCTGAGATAATCAACAAACTTAGATAGGAAAATGAAAATACAAAAGGAATTTGCTGGAGAGGCATGTATCCGTCTAGCAGAAGGATACCTTAACACGATCAGCATCAGACATCGTCCTTAAGGACACATCTTTGCCCAAAACTTGAGCTACAAACTCGATCACAGGCAGGGGTTCTATGAATGCTGTAGACGACATATCTGAAAAAACGAAAAGGAATATGAGAAAACTTTAGCAGAAGCCAGACAAGCAAAATACTTAGGGAAGGGAAGGGAAAGGAAGGGAAGGGAAGGGAATTCCCTTCCCCTTGGTTACACCCCAATTTGGGGGTAACAATTTTTATACTATTAGGGGGTGAACCAAGGTGAATGGAGGTGAATTAACTTCACCTCCTAAGTGTTCCCAAACAAGGTGAATGGAGGTGAATGGTTCCCCTAACTTCCCTTCACCCTCATTCCCCTCAATCCAAACAAGCCCTAAAGCTATCCAAATACGAAGAATGTCTCTAATACCTTCTCTTCATTGTTCACCCCATTCTAAACAGACCCTAAAACTTGCCAAACCAACAAGAAACAAGCGCCATTTTGTTTCGTGTTTTACAGTAACAAAAAATGTGATCCTTTTTGGCGAGTGAATCTTTAAGATTCTTTCAACTTACAGTGCTTTGCTTCGAAGACGTGTTACTATTGATGCGTGCTGTCCATTGTTGGATCAAACAACTGCAGTCTTTCAAGAACATCCCTAACTGTTGCCTCAGTAGTTTTCATCCTAGCAAATTTTACAAGCAAAACGAAAATATACTTAATGTAGAGATGATACAATAGCAAGACAGTACAAGGAAACTAAAACATGAGAAAGTCAAATTCTCCATTTGGGTAGAAAATTTTACCATGCCAGTTATTTGGCACATCTGAGCTAGCTCTTGACAGAATCCATGAGCAGTGCTTTCTTGAATGCTACGTGAAAAGTTGATGCAAGCCCAGTGGTTTACAGTGCAACCATTTATTACTTTCTGCAGTAAAAGAAACATGGGCTACTCCTTAGTCTACTGGAGTACAAAGATCTGCTTTAAATAGTATCTCTGGCATACATGTTGTACATACAAACAGTAACACTGTACCTTGTTCATCATATTCCATTGTCCAACCTGAGGCAAACACTCCTTTTCTTTTCCAGTTTCATGATATTTTAACTGCATGAACAAGTTTTTCCATTGACTACCATGCATCAGCAAAGTATAGGTGACTCATCCTTAATGAAAGAAAATGACGAAAGAGATTCTTTGTGACAAAGTAGATGATAAAAGATGCATATTACCCAAGGAGCTGGAAGAACTCGAGCTTCGACGGAGGCAAGTTTGTCGCTGATGCTGATTCCAAATTCCTTTGCATAAGGATCTTGGTCATAACTATTTTGATGAACTGTCTGATAACATTGTATACAGAGTTAATAAATTGATCGTAGAACTTCTAAATGGCAGATGAATGAAGAAAACATTGACTATGAAATGAGGGTTGTGGAGTTTAATAAAGAGTGCATGACCAGTTGTGTAATGGACCGGAAAATACCAAAAACCAAGCAGAGGCAGAACCAAAGTAATTATCAAGCTATAATCGTAGAAAAATGATAAGTGTACACAAGAGCAGTACTACTCTTGTACTACTAGACTACTAGACACAATGGATCCATAAGAACTCATAATTTTCATAATTTCTCTTTGCAATTTACAAGAAAAGTCTCCACTTTTTTTGTATGTAGGAGTAGAAGAGTAGAATTGCAGTTATCACTACTCATAATCTTATATGCATCACAGTTGGGGAATTCTGACTGGGAGAAACTCTCTATAAGTTATATAATCAGTCATCAGTACCAAAGGATGCGACAGAATAGTAACAGCCCATCTAGGAAAGCAAAGTAGTTTAGAGCGTAGTACTAGTATTTTGTTATACATTTACCACTTTACATACTTTGAAATATTCTGTTTTAGAAGCTCTTGAGATATAATCACCGTTCTACCTATAAATATGTGATATCATCTGCAGCTCAAGCATAACTAGAAAGTTAAAACAAAGTCGCGTTATATTGTGATATTTAGCTCAACTCTTTTGTTTGTATAAAGATAGAACAATAGTAGATCTAGTTATTGTAACATTGCATGTACACTAAAGACTCTTAAAGAGATGTAGATCTAGTTATTGTAACATTGCATGTACACTAAAGACTCTTAAAGAGATGTAGATCTAGTTATTGTAACATTGCATGTACACTAAAGACTCTTAAAGAGATGTAGATCTAGTTATTGTAACATTGCATGTACACTCAAGACTCTTAAAGAGATCAATTTGTACCCACAAATAAATTCATACCCTGCTGCATGTGCTATCTACTTGTTTCAACTCTAGAAATGGAACATCATGCATAGGAGAGGGGACCAAGTAGAAGCCAGCCAATCACTCTTAATGGGCACTAGTTGAGAGTTAGGCTTAAATCTAAGTGGCTGTGTGCTAGAACTGGATGATGCCCAACAGCCTAGATGGTGGCTAAACAAAATAGCAAGAATTTGGATAGTCCACAGCTCCTAAGATTTTTTTTTTTAATAAGAAACTTCACATAGAATTTAAAAGTGTAGAGACATGGATGGTAAGAAATACAAACCTGCAGTATATCCATCTCCTGTTCTCTGGGCCTCTGGCAGGTAACTTTTAGCAGGGAAGTAATTTGCTTTTCATTCAATCTCTTTGTATATCTCTGTCCTTCAACTATTTTACATGCCTGTAATTGATACTTAAAGAACTATAAAACCTCCGAAATTGTTATGTTAAATAAAGAATAATTTTATTAACCTCACCTCCATTGGCAGATAATTTGCCTTCTTTTGATTTCCTACTTGAAGGCAAGGCAGGTGAGAATATTGAATTGTAAAGCCATACATTTCTTTGAAGTATTCAACCACAGATTTCATGTTGTTTTGTTCGTCAACTGGGAAACTGTCCAGAGAAAAATTTAAGAACCATAAGCAATCAGGACATATACATATTCTTGAATATGCATTAACAAGATCAACGATTAAAGTTTCTTACATCAGCTCTCTAGTAGGAAGAGATGTCAATCCTGAAACTCGATATTTCCTTCGTACGCTTCCTCTATGAGTGACTTCAACTTTTACACCTCTAAGAGCCTTCTTGATCTGCTCATTGCAATGCACAAGCATTAGTAAACCTTTCAATATACAGAACAAAAATTAAAAATGTCAAAAACTTTAGTAATCTAATCTAAGTAGAGCATTGAATTTCTCATTCGATAGATTGAACTGTATTTTCCTGAGATAATCAACAAACTTAGATAGGAAAATGAAAATACAAAAGGAATTTGCTGGAGAGGCATGTATCCGTCTAGCAGAAGGATACCTTAACACGATCAGCATCAGACATCGTCCTTAAGGACACATCTTTGCCCAAAACTTGAGCTACAAACTCGATCACAGGCAGGGGTTCTATGAATGCTGTAGACGACATATCTGAAAAAACGAAAAGGAATATGAGAAAACTTTAGCAGAAGCCAGACAAGCAAAATACTTAGGGAAGGGAAGGGAAAGGAAGGGAAGGGAAGGGAATTCCCTTCCCCTTGGTTACACCCCAATTTGGGGGTAACAATTTTTATACTATTAGGGGGTGAACCAAGGTGAATGGAGGTGAATTAACTTCACCTCCTAAGTGTTCCCAAACAAGGTGAATGGAGGTGAATGGTTCCCCTAACTTCCCTTCACCCTCATTCCCCTCAATCCAAACAAGCCCTTAGTGTTGACTCATAATGCTTAAAAGTAAAGTAAAAAAAAGATGAAGAACCCTAAAAAAAGATGAAGAAGAACCCTACCAATATTCAGCGAAAGACCCATCTGAGTCGGTCTAATGCTCTGATAGAATCCACACCATGACTGCAACCCATCACCCAGCCTCTGTGGTTTCCTAATATCAGGAGAATAGAAAGACCGCCCAATTGAAAGATACCTACAAACTCCAGTTCAAAAATTAAGGAACAACTCACAATTCTGCCAAATTCAAATATCCAGATTCAAACATTAGACGTATCAGGATTAAAGAAATGTCACCTCTGATTCGACAACTCCCTCAGCACTATATCAAGAACCTGAACAGCATCTTGTGGCGCATCAGCCTGCTTCCCTTCCATAAACCGACGCAAGTGATGAAGATCAGCGCGAGCAGCAAACTTGATAACCACCCGGTATTCTTTCTCCCTTCGTATCCAACAAACACATAATCAGTGAAAGCTCATCTTCAAGATGAAAAAATCTTTATTAAAAAAAATCCAACCTCGCGACCATTCCATCATCCTCCTCCGTGAGCTTCACAACGAACTCCTTCGAGCTAAAAGGCAGAGACCCAGCAGTGTAAAGACTCTTCCTCCCATCATAAGCAGGCAGCCTCATCCCTAGCTCGCTCTCTCTATAAACCCTAACCAGCTCACCAATTATAGCTCTATTCACGCTCCTCGAGCGAACCTCAGGTATAATCGTCACCTGTAAACAAGACCCACGATAAAAATTCAAGAACCCAACTCCATTTCAAACGGAATGAGGCTGATCAACTCACATCATACTGATTCAGGTCCTTGTCAGGCAACTGGGCAAGGAAATGGTTAGCTTTCACAAGACATCTAGTTCCAATCTGGCCAAACCCAGGCCGGCGACAAAACACGACTCCCTTGCTCGACACTGGCGGTGAGGGTGCCACAATTGCATTGCTTATCTCTTTACCGGCAACAGAG